TTATTTTACATTTATTTCCTTATTTTCTTCGTATTTCCTTCAAATGGTAATTTTCGTAGTACTATTTGAGACTTTAAGTTTTTGTGTAAAAAATGTAAACTTTAATTATTTATTTTGCCTCCGCACTAAATTCATAATTTATTTCTTTTAGAATTTATGAGGTTGTTACACTTAATGCCCTGTCTGGCATGAGGGTGAAACAGGCCGTCTCCATACCTCGTCTGGTATGAGTGCTAAAATACTAATCTTTGATACCCCGTCCGGTATGAGGCAACGTTCACGGTAGGATTCCCTATGTACCCGGTCCATCCACCATCTCTTAGGATATCCAATAAGGTCACTATTCATCCATTTACTTAATCAAATAATTTTTCGTTTACCTTTAATTTCTAATTTTTCACTTTAACCGTAATTACATGAAACAAGCAATACATGCATCAAGGAAACACAATCGCATCATCATATAAATTTCAGTGTATTATCATGCATTTGAAAACTATAAAATCAACCAATCAGCTAAACATGGAAAACAGTAATAAATAATCAGTTCCGGCTCCATTAGTGACATGTAATTAATTGTAGATATTTTTTAAACTATTCAAAATACCGTATTATTATTAATTAAACTTCAATTCCATAATAATGAATAAGGTGAGGGATTCTTACATAAATTAATGTCCGAGATGCTAAACTTTCAGTCGTACATACTGATGGGTCCCCGAGGTTCCTTGAATTTTTATTTAGGGATTAAAACATATTTCAAGTACCTAGAAATATTCTAAAAAATCCAAAATCAATCTTAGAAACTCTTTTTGGCCAATTTTAAAATTTCGACACGGCAGCTCCACCGTGCTTTGGCGACGGCATTGCCTCCTGCAACGGCGGTTTATCTCGAGTTGGCCGTTTTCGGCCATTTTCGGTCGATTTCGGCCAGTTTTGTACCCATCCCTACGAGAAAACACGTTAAAAGATCTCGAATGGCTGAAAAAAGTCAGAAAAATCAAAGCTTACTAGCAGTAGAGTTTTTCAGTGCGGCGGCTCTGCTGGCTCACCTTCGTGGTTGGGTGTTTTACTTTAGTCAACCTGTAGAGAAAAGAATGGTGATTACAGTGGTAGAAAAATTACACGAAATGAAAATCAGGAAGGGCCTCATCAGAGGTAATTTTTGCTTTTTTTCGCGATGGTGCTACCGGGCTTTGGCCTGCAGTTTTCAGCTCATCAGCTGGTCCTTTTCCTCTGATTTGGCTATGGGAGTGTTAAAAATTGAATTTCAAGCGAATGAGAAAAAATTTACCTTTTTTGACGGTCGAAAGTGGCTCCGGCGCGACGGCAAGCGACAGTCGACTCCCTTCCTGGCGACTGGCTCTTCTTCTCTGGCGGTGGGGTCTGACGGCTAGGGTTAGGTTTGGTGTGAAGAGAGTTATTTATATTCATCTTCTTTAATCTGTATCGTTCATCACGTTTGATCTTGACCGTCCGATTGCGTTTAAATAGGAAGTGAATATGGATCATTCATCACGATTTAATCTGGACCGTCCGATCGCGTTTAAATAGGAAGTGGATGTGGACCGTCCGATCGTGTTTAAATAGAAAGTGAATCAGGACCATTCATCGTGATTTGATCTGGACTGTCTGATCGCGTTTTAAAAAGTGAACAAATCCAGATCGTCCATGCGCGCGGGAACAAATTCGGACCGTCCGATCGTGAACATGCGAATCGCCAACGTGGCTTCCCGCGTGGCACTGCGTCAACGTGCCGTGCCACGTGGCGGGCTCCGATTTGTCGGAGCTGTTGACTGGGTATCCTATGTATCACAATTTTCTTAAATTACATTTTAACCATCAGTTTCTGATTTTTCTTTCAAAAACATCCACATAATTCAAATTTTCATCTATTTTTTTCAAAATTATTTTCAATTTCATTCTACTCTTATTTTTCTTCATTTTTACATTAAATAAAAATTTTAAAAATTAAAAATTTATATTTATACAATTAATTTTAATTATATTAAAATAAATTAAGGGTATTACAATTTTATTTTAATTTTTTTTATTTAATACAGACTTAACGTTAAGACCAAATTTAATAAAAAAAACAGATTGAACAAAATATAAATTTGATAATAAAAATAAATACTATTAAATATTTAAATAATAAAAATAAATAAAAAACGATTATTTAATCTAAATATTAATTAATAATTAAAAAATAAAATTTTAAATATTATTAATCACAAATATAAAATTTTCTATCAATAATGGTTTGGAAAAGCTAATGCTTGCAAACTATTATTACGCACTTGCAACGGTAAAACTAAAAAAAAATTCGCTCTCTTTACAAAAAGGCCAAAAGAATTAAATATTTATATTTTCGAAATTTTTAAATGAAAAAGGGCAGGACAGGAAAAAAAAATGATGTGAACGAAGCATAGGATTCCAGATATTTGTCAGGAAGAAACTCCCCCCTTCATCTTCAACCTTCTGCTCGCCAACTTCTGTCTTTCCATGGCTTCTTGATAACTTCTAAACTTGACCGCATATAGACAAAACCCAACCACTTTTCACTTTCTCCAACTCCACCTCTTTCCCCCCAAAACTACACAAACCCAAAACAACTCATGGCCGAACCACAACACCCGCCGCCACCTGCGGAGGCTCCGGCAGCGCCGTCGCCGCCCTCTTCCGCTGCCGAAAATGCTTCCCCTGCACCGGACAAGGAAGACCCACCAGCACAGCCAACATTAACTGAACAGACTCCGCCTCCTCCTCTTGATCCTCTTCCTTCTGATGAACCTCCGGAAATTCCAGAAAAGGAAGAGCAACAGCCGCCGGAAACGGAACCTGAGAAGACCTTGACGTTGGAGAAAGAACCGGAGCAGGTGACCGCGGAGTCTAGATCGCTTGCGGCGATGATGGAGAAAGAGGAGCTTCCGCCGCCGCAGCAGGAAGTAAGTGAGAAAACAGTGGCGGTTAACGCCGACGAGGAGGTTTCCGGCGACGTGAAAGATAAAAGTAAGGCTCCTCAGAGCTTGGTTTCCTTCAAGGAGGAGAGCAATAACGTGGCTGATCTCTCTGAGTTCGAGAAGAAAGCTTTATTAGAATTCAAGCAGCTTGTTCAGGAAGCTCTAAACACTCGTCAATTCAGCTCTCCGCCACCTCCAAAAGAATCTACCATGGCGACTGAACCAAAAACCGAAGCAGTATCCTCCGCTGAGTCCGATGCTAGCACCACCATAAACCCACCTCAAGAACCAGCAGTTCCTGAAAACCCACAAGAGAAATCTCAAGAAGAAGTGAAGCTGGAGACTCACTCGCCGGAGGAATTCTCCACTTGGGGAATTCCTCTTCTGAAAGACGACCGGAGCGATGTCATTCTGCTGAAATTCCTCAGAGCCAGGGATTTCAAACCCAAGGACGCTTTTATCATGATCAAGAACACAATTCAATGGAGAAAAGACTTCGGCATCGAGGAGCTTGTCGACGAAGATCTCGGCGATGATCTGGACAAAGTTGTGTTTATGCACGGACATGACAAGGACGGGCATCCAGTTTGTTACAACGTTTATGGAGAGTTTCAGAACAAGGAGTTGTATCAGAAGACATTTTCAGATGAAGAGAAGAGGATGGAGTTTTTGAGATGGCGGATTCAATTCTTGGAAAGGAGTATAAGGAAACTTGATTTTAGTCCTGGTGGTGTTTGTACTATTTTTCAGGTTAATGATCTGAAGAATTCCCCTGGACCTGGAAAAAGAGAGCTTAGATTGGCAACTAAACAGGCTCTGCACATTCTTCAGGACAATTACCCTGAGTTTGTGGCCAAACAGGTAATAATTAGAATGATAATCAAATTAATTGCTGATTAAATTTGAATTAACTAGGATTTAATCTTTTGAAATCAAGAAAACTCATAACATTTTCGGTTTGTTTAAGTGACTTGAATTTTGGTTTGCCAAGTTTTACTTGGTTTAGGTCATATTAAACCGGTTTGGTTTGGTTTGGAAAAACCCTAGTATTTTGAGTATATTAGGGTTTACAAGTTAATTGGTGATATCCTCCTTATTTTTTTATCATAGTTGAAACCTTTTTATCTGTCTTGCCCGTAACAGTGGGTATCTCTGCTGAACCACGTAAATCTTGTAGCTTTTCTTCCTTGCTCTTTACTTGATGTGATTGTGTACATTATTGGGATTTATTTTCACAACAAGGTTATGAGTTTGATGTTTGTTACTTCCTTGATTAGGTGTTTATAAATGTTCCATGGTGGTATCTTGCTTTTTATACCATGATTAGTCCATTCATGACCCAAAGGACCAAGAGCAAGTTTATATTTGCAGGCCCTTCAAAATCTGCTGAAGCACTTTTTAAGTGAGTGAAGAATTCTAATTTCTCTTTGCCTGTTTCTTAATTATGTTTTGGAGTTTTTTATTGTCAATTTCAATTCCTCTCCATTTGGGTTTTGGTTAATGCTTTTGGACATTTTGTGGGCGGACAGATACATATTGCCCGAACAGGTCCCTATTCAGTATGGTGGTCTCAGTGTTGATTACTGTGATTGCAACCCCGAATTCACCATTGCTGATCCTGTCACCGAGGTCATTATAAAGCCAGCAATCAAGCAAACTGTGGAGATTATTATCTACGAGGTTGGATTGTGTTTGTTTCCTTTTTAATTCACAACTGATACATGTTCATTTGCCTGCTTATATAGTTAACTATGGCTATGTTTGGAATGAATCTGATACTTCTGTAGAATTATTTATAAATACCCATTTCAACTAAGAAATGATTTAAAATTCATTAGAAGATGAAAGAAATCGAGTTCATACGAAATTTCATTCCAAACATAATTGAGCTAAAAGTGATTGGCCTTGGGGACCTACGTGTGAATTGCAACAAGCATTTTCGGGTTTATGTTAACTAGGGTTTCTTGGATTGCAGAAATGTGTCCTTGTTTGGGAGGCCCGGGTAGTGGGGTGGGAGGTGAGCTATGGAGCTGAATTTGTGCCCGATGCTAAAGATGGATATACAGTTATCATACAGAAACCCACAAAGATGACACCAATGGATGATCCAGTCGTCTGTCAGAGCTTCGAAGTCAGTGAATTGGGTAAAGTATTGCTCACAATTGACAACCCAACCTCGAAAAAGAAGAAGCTTCTGTACAGGTTCAAGGTTAAACCTTTCTCCAATTGAGAGTTTTTTTGTTTGTATTAAGATTTGTTCTCTAAAGTTTGGATGTTGAGGTTGAATTTTTATCTTTTCGTAGTTTATTTATGAATCTTAGTTGTTGGTTTTACGAGTGAAGACCTAGACCCATGATATATGTGAGGGCAATCATTGGGGAAACAACAAATAGAAAAGAAGGGTGACATATTTGCAGTTGAGTGTTTTGCCCTGTATATTTATTTACATCGATGTGTATATTTTTTCGAACCAATTACACCCATGTATATTGGAGGAATGTGTGTTGCCTATCTTTTAATATTTAAAGTTCTCCATACCCAATTTGACCATTATTTTCTTGAAAGTTTGAATCTTGCTGTACAAAGTCAGATCTTATAAGCTATATTGATGTATATATTTTTCGAACCAATTATACCAATGTACATTTGAGGAATATGTGGTACCTATCTTCTAATCTTTTGAAGTTCTTGATAGCCAATTGGACCATTGTTTTCTCTTGCGGTACAAACTCAGATCTTATAAGCTTTTGAATTAATAAAACTCAGATATGACAACACTCTCTTGAATTCGGTAGAACTCCTCAGTAAACCTTGTTTTTCTCTGTTATTTGCTTTTATTTATCTTCTCTTTCATCTTTTTCCGTGATGAACTTGTGCTCTTGTTCTTCTGAGTTTCGATGTGATTCGAGTCTCTGAATCAACCTCATCTCGGTTATGATGTCAATCATAATTAAAAGCCCATTAATTCGAATTCACAGTATTTTATAGAGGAAAAAAATGTGTAAATTATTCAGTTAAATCGTACATTATTCTAGTATATGTATAGATTACGAACAGGCATAGAGAAAAATAATTAAAGGCCCGTTAATTATTATCATATGTATTTTTTTTTTTTTCTTTTGGGTAAAATTAGAGTGGTATTGATTATTCACGTGTGGCGTGAGTGTAAAAAGCATATGCTTGTGTCTTTGTGCATGTATTCATCTGTAATTCAGTAAGTGTAATGGATCAGGACTTTTTTTAAAAACTATCAAATCACCGATGTTGCTTTCATGTTTATGGGACGATCATTATGTTATTAGTATACCTATAATAATCGTTGCCTGCAGATATATGTTTTTCTGTCTGTACGTATATGTGTACGTATATATTATTGTTTAACAGCTTTCTTAATTCTATTTATCATGGGAGAAAAGAGAAACATGTCTGCAACTCAAAAAGAGGAAATGAACACATTCTTGGGCATTATCTGCATTCTCCGAACACAACCTTTTTTTATTAATAAACATTAGGTTCGGATTGGATCGAATTCTGAGTTGACAGAAAAACTAAACTAGGGTGGGACGAGTTTAAATTTGTTGTACAAAATAATTTTGTTGGAACCCGACTGTGAATATCTTAGACAAAGCTCTGATTGAATAAGAAGCTAGTTTTAAATCTTTTGACTTACAAACCAAAAAGTATCATAAAAGATGAAGAGTTGGATATATGTGAGCATGCCTTTACAATCAATATGCTTAATTGTTTGGTGAGTGATTGGAATTAAAAGGCCCGAGTCATGATTACTCATGCTTATAATTATATATATATACACGCATACATAATATATAGGTAGCCACTGTGTGTGTGTGTGTATATATATATATGGGTATTCATTGAATTTGTTGAGCTTTCAATTGTTAGGTGGTGGGCACTCAATTCACTTGTACACTTTTCTTTCTTCTCTCTTTTTTTTTTTTTTTTTTTTTTTTTAACCTCCTTGCAAGCATGACCAGCTTATAATGGGGCCTCCTCTTAACAATTATTTCCTAATTAAAATTAGTTTTTGGTCTTGCAATCAATCACCTTTCAGGCCCTTGTTTGTTAGTAGACAACTCTTTTTAAGTTCGTGTATTAATTAATAAAATTTGATATTTTAAAAATATTTTATTAATGCATTAAATTTAATTATAAATAAATAATGAAATTATTGTTTCTTTCTTTAAGGTGGATGGGTTGGGGGGGTGAATTGCATGTGGGCGGTGCGAATATCAAAGCAAACATGTTTGCAACTTCACATGCTCCCTCACCCGTTAATTACGGATTTCTTTCTTTATCCTTTTCTTCTTTTCTTTTCTTTTCTTTTCTTTTCTTTTCTTTTACCATTTATATCCTAATTATCAATTAAACATCATTAATTAATTTACAAAAACAATTATACTTTATAATATAATCTTACCTCGTACAAAGGCCCGGCCTACCCTCACTTCTCCCCAGCCCGAACCTGCTTCGCCACTTGGGCAAATATCAATGCTTGCTTCCTAAAATAATATATTAATGGGTCTATTTTTGACGTCATTAATAAAATATTTCAATTAAAGTTTTCGGTGGAATTTGAAGAAGCAAAGAAAAACACGTGAGGACATAAGAAATTCATGCAGTCCTGATGAAATCTGATATATGCGGCAGCAACAGCAACAGCAACCGTGTCTCAGCGTGCGGCAATTCACATGCTGCCTCCCACGGGTCGGGTGCGCTCAGCAACCCACGTTTCTAACACAATTTATTTTCTAATTTATATAAAATTAAATTACATAAACCTAAAAAATATTTTCCCCAACTAATTAAACTATAATTAATTTACAAAGCATCATCTCCTGGGGGCATTTGAAAACGACAGGACCCTTGTAAGGCAAAAGGGATAAAAACGCACCGATTGATTCACATCGTGTTCCTTTGGCACTTTTCATAATCGAACTATATTTATATTTATATTTATATTTATATATGTGTATATTAAAATAAATTAATATATATCTATAATTTCAACTAAAATTATTAAATTTTTATCCCAAAAAAAAAAGATAATCTAAACTTGAATTAATGAAGATTATTAATTAGAAAAATGGTTTTTAATTTAATTTCAAATATTAATTAAATAAAGCAAGTGAAGAAGGAGGGTTGGGGTCAATGGAGAATAACATTTTTATACTGTCATCTTTGTGGGTGGGGTGCGGTGGGGTCTCAGCCTAATTAGCTATATAAATTATTATTGCAATAATCAATCACATCTTCTTTTAATTAATCTGGTGGGAAAAATGATTAGAAGCAGATCATATAATATTTCTTTTTCTTTTTTAATTTTATCCAACAAATAATAATTTTTACATAATAAATTTCTTTCTTAATTTCAAAATTTTATAATTAAAAATTCTACTTATAATTAAAAAGAAAAAAAGACGAAAGCAAAGATTAGATTTGTAACGTATTAAAACAGTAATTAACTTTTTTTTTTAAGTAAAATGTTAAAAAAGTGTAGGGAGTTGGAGAGAAGTAATCATGTTTTTTTTAAGTAAAATTATGTTTACTTTTGTCGTTTTCCTTTATTAATTAGACACCACATGTCCTCGTAGATTCTATTTTTACCTTAAGCACGCTTTGTATTTCTCCTTCTAATTATCATCGGACTTGGTTTAAGTGGATCAAAAAAAATTTTAACCTTTACCAGATAAATTGTTATAGAAATAAATAAATAAAATCATTTACAAAATAAATAGTATTTGCTTTAATTTCTTTTAAATATGTAAACAATAATTAAATTAACTCTCTAATATAAAAATGTTAAGTTAAAATTTATTGGGTGATTTATTAAATAAAAAATTCAATTAAATAATATATATATATATACTAAGTATGACATAACCAAAGTAATTTCTAAATAAAAATATATATAAAATTACAATCCCACTTAAATCCACCATCTCTTAAAAATATATAT